CAGAGCAAGACTTCGTATTCCCACATATAGGGCATGGACAACACATAAAACCATTCTGCTTGTTTGTCTCAGCCACATCGAGAAAATCATGCACGCCCTTAATGTACTCGGAGGTGTGTCTTGAACCGTACATCCATTGCCGGTTCATCTGTGTGCATTATATATAATTAAGTGTGTCAAAAATCATTACAAAACATCATGAATAGATAATTAAGTGACCAAATTAATAGAAGTTCATCATCACATTAAAACCAAAGTACATACATAGTTCTCATCTAACAACATAAAGCTCTGCAGAGCATCTAAATTAATTAAACGATACACTGAAACTATGTAAAACATTTCAATGCGAAAACAAATGCGATCATAATCGCAACCAATGTAACAACTAATCCAACGGCATAATGATACCAAGCCTCGGTATGAATGGCATATTTTCTAATCTTTCTAATCTTCAAGCGCATTGCATCCATCTTGATCTTGTGATCATCGACGACATCCGCAACATGCATCCAATATCATCTTCTCCTCCTCAATTTTTCTAATTTTTCCTTCAACAAATTGTTTTCTTCTTCAACTAAATTTAACCTCTCGACAATAGGGTGGTTGGAATTTCCGGTTCAACAACCTCCTAGATAAATAAAATCTATGTCACGTTGGTCGACATAATTGTCATAAACAATAAATGAACCAATAGTTATGAAAAGATAATATATACCACATCTGAATCATAGACAGGACGAGGGCCGACAGAGGCGGATACCAAAACCATCGCACTATATAAGATGCAATAATAAAAGTAAGAAAATTATACAAGTATCTATATAAATATACAAGTAAGATTTTTTTCCTTTCAGAAAGAAGATAAGAACAGGAGGCTCACCACGGTGGTGCCGGCGACGAGATCGGCGTGGGCGATCGACGGTGGTGAAGACGGGGACGGGACGTGACGGACCGCTAAACCTAGACAAATATTGAGGAAAATGGAGCTTGGAGAGGAGAAAGCTTAAGTAGTGTGGCTCGGACATTCCATCGAACACTTCGTGTGCATAGGAGTTGAGCTAGAGCACCACAAAGCTCTCCCCTCGCCCGCCACGAAAAACAGAGCACTGGGAGTGCTCTGCTCGCGGGCGAGGGGTAGATATAGGCAACTAATTGGTCCCGGTTCGTGCCACGAACCGGGACTAAAGGGCAGCCTTTGGTCCCGGTTCACTCCACCAACCGGGACCAATGGTTGTGGGCCAGGAGCGAGGCGCATTGGTCCCGGTTCGTTCCATCAACCGGAACCAATAGGTCCAGCCGAACTGGGACCAATGGCACACGTGGCCCGGCCGGCCCCTGGGGCTCACGAACCGGGTCCAATGCCCCCATTGGTCCCGGTTCTGGATTGAACCGGGACTAATGGGCTGACCCGGCCTGAACCATTGCCCCCTTTTCTACTAGTGGTACTGTATTTTTGGAAAACCAAAAACAGAAAAAAAATAGCAACTGGCACTTGGCACTAGATCTCTCCGTCCCATAATATATATAAGATGTTATTACATTAAATATATACTCAGCTAGCGACTGTTATCGCTGTGATGAGGGTAATTGCGATGTGAGGGGCCATTGACGATGACAGAGCAGGAAGCTAAATAATCATCAAGCTATCTAGCTAGCGGAGGTGGTATTGAATGAAAATGAATAATGGCATGTGAGTGTACAAGTCACATGGAGGGGGCTGCTGCTGGACCTGGATGTGATGTGATTGCTTCTTCCTACTACATACTACTGCTGTAAATCATCTATTCAATTTAGCTGGAGGGGCTCCCTGGATGCCCTGTTTACTGAAACAGACAGACAGTCTTGTGATTTTTTTCTGGGAGTCCCAAATAAAATCAGCCTTAGTTTGACCAAACGGGCCAGGATGGGAATGGGCCGGCCTGCTGTGGCCCGGACCTGGCCTGTCTATTTTATTCAGGAACATGGAGCTGGTCAAATGGTCCAATACCGAGGGGCTCGTGTTTCAGTGGGCAATATGGTCCAACCCATTTCTTTTACTATATTGCACAAGAACAAATAGCATTTACATAACAACATTATTTCAACTAGCACCATGTTCGCAATTCCTGTTTCTGTTTCTACCATGAATCGGCTGTATCATAAGGTAGCATATTTGTAACTCTGAAACACAAGCGGCCTTGGGTCAAGTGTTTGAAAAACATGTTTAAGCACAAGGGTAACAACCTTACAAAGACATGTGCATTGTAACAGTAGACTACAACCATGGGCTGTCCCTCCCCTCCCCGAGGCGCTCCCGCGGGCGCCCCCGGGAGGAACCCTAGCGCCGCCCCCTTCGCCTCAACCCCCGTTCCTCGCCGCCGCCTGGGGCGTCGCCGGCCAAAGGCCGTGTGGCATTGACGGCGGCGGGGCGGCTCTCGCCCGCACGCAGTTGGGGACTCCGCGGGGCGTTCCCATCTGCCTGGTGGTGCCGGGCGTCGGGCTGGCCCTGCCTCGGCTCCCTCTCCCGCTCCCGGCGTCCCTCGCTGGCGCCGCCTCCTCCCCTTCGTGGTGGTGGGTGGTGGGGGATGGATCTGGGATCCCTGCCCAGAACCGGTGGATGGTGGGGTTGGTGTTGGTAGCGGTGGCCGGCGGCCCAGGCGTGGTGGCGGCGAGTCGCGTGGCCTCTGCACATCGTGGAGGTGCCGGCCGTGCACGGGAGTTGGATTCCTTTGAACATATCTGGCTGAAAACTTGGTTTCGGCTATTGCCAAGGCCGGCGGTGGCGGCGCTATCTGCATCGTTCCCTTCTTGAAGGCGTCGTCGTGGAGAAGTTGAAGGGCACTCTCTGCTACCTCTGGGGGAAACCCTAGATTAGATGATCGGATGACGGCGGCGCTCTAGTGTCATTCCCCCCTTTGGGGCGTCATTCTTGGAGGTACACACGTGATCGAGGGACCAGAGGTCGGATTCTTTGATGGAGCGGTGCTTCATCTCATCCATTGATGGCGGCGGATCTTGGCGGCATGGCGCTGTGGTGACTCGGCGTCCGATGCGCGGAGATCGACTCGCGCAAGAGGGTGACGTGGTCTGGCGTCGTGTGGCGTCGACGGCAACTAGACCGGGCAAGGTAGATGCAACAGTACAATTTTGAAGATGGATTGGTGGCAGGTGGGTGCGGCGGCCTCATACCCGGTAGGCGTCCTGGTTGAGGAGTGCGCCGGACCGGTGGGTGCCCCATACCCGGTAGGCGTCCTGGATGAGACCTTAGGACTTAGATGGTAGGTTTGGCTGCGAGGTCTGTTTGGTATTAGGCTCAGACTATCAGCATCCCTTCATCAATTGGATAGGAGTAGTGACAGATGTTGCCTAGACGGTGGCTTTAATTTTACTGTTGTATTACTTTATAAGGTCTTGTGTGAACAACTAATAAAATGGGTGCCTGCATCGTCCAGATGCAGAGGCCGGGGGTCTTCCTCCTTTTCAAAAAGAAAGAAGAAAACAAGCATGGGCAACTAAATTTGGTTGGACCCACTTGTCCCTGTGGGCCGACGGTGAGCGTCTCCCCTCGCCCAACTCAACTTTTCTATGAAGACACATGGGCCTTAAAATGATGGGTAGTTCAGTTAGCCAATTGTGACTACTGAACACGACAAGAGCAAAACAGAGTGGTATGTAAATTCTAGTGCTGGGGAAGCACAAGAGGGGCAAGAAACAGAGTGAAAACCAACCAAACAGAGGCTGCATTTACTCGGTACTGGTACTGGTACTAGTAATTGAGAAGCGGGAGCAGCTATCCTACAGAGTGGGGCAATTTCATCCTGCGCCACTGGTCCTCCTCCGCCTCCGCCTCCTCCTCCTTGATGAATTCCTACTGGGACTGGGAGGTCACTCTCCTCTTGGTATCGTCTGATCGATCATGGGTATTAGTAGTAGCTTGCCACGGTAGGGTAGGGTAGGGTGGTCACGTCACCCACCTCACTACACTAGACTAGAGATGGGGAGTTAATCGGAAGGATGCATGCTGATCCTTGGTGGGCTGGGCCGTATGTATCAGATGCAGATGCAGTGCAGTGCAGTGGTAGTACGGCTGATGATGATCTGTTTGTGCTGTTTGTTGGCTGGGGAAATTAACTGACGGACTGTACCACAATCATAATCATTGTACGTACGTATGTAATTGTGGGTACATACGTACTGTACTAGAGAGTGTAGAGCAGGACACATGGATGAGTGAATGGCCCCTGCCTGAATCCATGGGAGCACCCTACCTACAACAGCAGGCCAACAGGAACAGGAACAGGAACAGGAACAGATCACACGTACGTACGTACGTACCCAAATCAATGGAAATGAATGAATGGCACCAAAGCAAGCGAGCAGTCTGCTACATCCTCCCTCCTTCCTTCCTTCCTTCCTTCCTTCCTTGTGAGGAACAGCAAGAGAGAGAGAGAGAGAGGGAGTTGATTTGTAGCTCCCTCATGATTACTGATTTTATTCCCATCAGCATCACCACCAATCATACAACCTCCTGTCACGTCAGTCTCCACCCAGCAAGCATTCAAGCTAGGTCACTCTCATTGTGAATTGAACAAGGTGCAGGTCAGCAGCATCCAGCAGATTTATATGCACAGCACAGTCACCGATTTATTACAACCAAAAGAGGCTAGGCTAGCTCAGCTGTACATTTACATTAATTAGAGAGTGAGAGGGAGAAGATGATCCTGCCTTCCTGCAGATGCAGGGCCCATAAACACGCCAAAATTTGGGCTCTGTCTTTCTTTCTTACTGTTAATAAGTTGTCGATCGATCCGGTGCTTCATCTATCTATCTATGGCACTCCGGCCGGCTATGGATGGCCTCTCGAACCATTCAGCGACAGCGACACCCCCCCTTTGTTTCCTTCCAGTGGGGTGGGGTGGGGATGTCTGTCTGAAGCAGTGAAGCATGCGTGCGTCCCGCTTCAGATCCATGCTCTGGCCTTCCGTATTGCCTTGTTGTTGGTTCAGGATTCAGGATGATCATGTCTCTGCTTGTGAGCAGGGCACCAGCTGTGTTGGTTGCGGCACCATAGAGGACGACGACGACGGCGACGTGGTGTGGTACTCGGCTGCGATGTCGCTGGCGACCCTGACGGCGTCGAGGGAGAGCCCGGCGAGGCCCCGGCGCGTGAAGCCGACAGAGTATAGCCCCGACTCGCCCTTCCACCCCTCCGGGAACTCCACCTTGGGGTACCCCTCCCCACTGAAGAAGTCGCTTCCCTGCACAACAACAGATATTTAACCGATTAGCATGATGTAATTATGAAAGGGAAGAGAAAACAAGTGTTGATTGTGTTTGGTCTCTCTTAATTTTAGTTGAGCAAGTGCAGTGCACCCTTATGTCTCTGTCAGTGTATTTGTCCGTTTATGACGCCTCATCATCATGACAACTACTAGTGCACCATAACAATGCATTCCACACTAACTAATCATAGCTTTATTACACTATCTGGATTAGCTTGACGATAAGACGAGTGCAATATGATACTCCCTCCGTAAACTAATATAAGAGCGTTTAGAATACTAAAATAGTGATCCGTAAACTAATATAAGAGCGTTTAGAATACTAAAATAGTGATCTAAACGCTCTTATGTTAGTTTACAGAGGGAGTACTCATCAAGGGAGGCCATCAACCGCCGGCTGATGAATGTGCAACTAAATTAAGACTCCTACTGCTAACTATATCCTATAACTAGACTAGACCACCAGCTACTAGTGTGTAGTAAGTACTGTATAATCTATAGCATGTAGGAGGAGGAGTATAATGATCAAGTTGGTTGGTTGGTTACCTTGAGCCACTGTGGGACGTTGCTGTGGTAGCCGGTGGCCAGGATCACGGCGTCGGCCGCCACGAACCGCCCGTCCACCAGCTCCGCGCCGCCGGCCTCCATCCTTCTCACCCCGGGCACGATCTTGATCTCCCCGGCCCGGATCTTCTCCAGCGCGCCGATGTCCAGCACGGGCGTCCGCCCCTTGCTGTTCTTCAGCTCCAGCGGGCCCCCGTGGGACGGCCTCCGCAGGCCGAGCCTCGCGAGGTCTCCGCCGAGGAAGAGCCCCGCGAGGAGCACCAGCAGGCGGTCCACCAGCCGGAGCGGCAGGAAGCGGAGCAGGAAGACGGCCACGGAGAAGGTGGCGACGCCGAGCATCTCGCGCGGGAGCACGTGCACGCCGTCGCGCACCACCATGGACGGCCGCGCGCCATGGTCGCACAGGTCCAGGCACACCTCCATGCCCGAGTTGCCGCAGCCGACCACCAGCACGCGCTTCCCCCTGTACGGCTCGCCGGACTTGTACTCGGACACGTGGGACACGGGGCCCTTGAAGGCGTCGGCGCCGTCCAGGTCCGGGATGACGCGCTCCGCGTTCTCGCCCGTGGCCACCACCAGCCACCGCCCGATGTACTCCGTGACGACCCCGGTGTCGTCGTCGGAGGCCTGGACCCGCCAGAGGCCGGCGGCGCTGTCGAAGCGGGCGCAGACGACGGACTGGCGGAAGCGGGGGCGGACGTGGAAGGCGGTGGCGTAGGACTCGAGGTAGGCGACGAACTGGTGCTTGCTGGGGTACTCCGGGTAGTGGTCGGGGAAGGGCATCCCCGGGAGCTGGCAGAAGTGCTTGGGCAGGTGGAGGCGGAGGCGGTCGTAGGTGCGGCGCTGCCAGAGCGAGGCGAGGCAGTCGTCGCGGTCGAGCACGACGGAGGGGACCCCGCGCGTGTGCAGGCACGCCGCCGCCGCGATGCCCGCCGGGCCCGCGCCCACGATGATGGGGCCGTTCACCCACATGGTGCGCGATGCCGCCATCATGCACGTATCTATGTAGACTCCGTCGGAGCTAGCAGTGGCCGGAACCAGTGGATGGTCGACGGAGAAGAGGAAGAGGAAGAGAGGATGGAGTGATGGGAGCTGGGGAAGAAGAAGGGGAGGCCTCCTTAAATAGGGCCGGTGAGGGAGATTCATTTGCGCGGCCGGCCAGTTAAAATTCCCGCGCTTTGCTTTTAGTTGGACATTAGCGCCATACCATGCAGTACGGTCGATTGATCATTTAGGTCCATACTCCCTCCGTTTCTAATATAAGCCTTTTTTTTTAAATTTTAATAATCGTTTTGCTCTGTATGTACTTCGTATTGGAATCTCTATAAAGAAAGCATGTATTCAAGAATGGAGGGGCGGTCTCTAAATATAAAACCTTTTAAATATTTTAATACGTAGACGTAATTTTAGAGTGTAGGTTCACTCATTTTGCTTTGTATGTAGTCTGTATTGGAATCTTTATAAAAAAACTTATATTTAAGAACGAAGGGCCCCGGATCTAAATATAAAACCTTTTAAAGATTTTAATATGAATTACATATGGATGTATATAGACGCTCATTCTACTTCATATGTTGTCAATATTGAGATCTCGAAAAAGGCTTATATTTAGGAACGGAGTGATTACTATATAACTAGTACTAGTATATACTATATAACTAGTGCTAGTAGACCGATGCTAAATTAATTTTAGTTTAAGCACATATACAGATCAATCAATATAAGCACATCTTCGATGTCTTGCAAAATTCTTTTATGTCATACACATATACTTATCTTGTTAAATTAACTATTAGATCGGTCTTTTTGGGATAGTTGGTTGATCCAATAGATCATGTGTATCATTGACTCTCAGGTGCATCCAACTCCTTCCACTTGATTCAAATTGACTCTTAGGTATATCTAACTCCTTCCACTTGCTTCTCAAAAAAAAAAAAACCTTCCACTTGAATTTCAAATCGACTTTCAGGTAGATCTAACTCCTTCCACTCTAGCCCCGTTTGGGTGGCCATCCGCTTGAAAGCATGCCATCCCGTGATCTGGAGCGCTTGTAGTATGCCTCGAGGTATATAGGAGGTGATAGTGAACATACCTCGTCAACTTATATGGGTGTCCCTATCGGTTTCCAAAACAAGTGATCTGAGGCGGTTGGGCCAAGACAACTCACAAAGGATCTATCCAAGTAGATGGCCTTTCATGAGCCGTCGCGCAGAAACCTTTCGTCAACCCTACAAATCTATTTGAGGGCGCAACGGGCGGCGGTGCGAGACTCATGCTCATCACATTACGTGTAACATTGATGCATGCAAAAGACTAATACTTGGGTTGTGTTGGTATTGCGGTGGAAACAATAATTGAGCTTTTCTAACCAGCTTTACTTGTTTTACAATGTTGTGTCTTTTTTTAATACAGTATAATCACATATGCTCACACACATACACTCGGCTCCATGGACGCACGCACATCCTATTCCTATGAGAACCTCCAAGATGTTGAGCCGGCACATGATTGACAGAATCACCACATACGTCTTTTAGCCAACAAGAACATCTTCTTCCACTGAACAAACATCATCAGAAAGACTAAAACAAACAGAAAATGCACAAACCAGTGTCAAGTGTACAACTTGAATCCTAGCTAGTGGACTGATTCCATCATAGAAAGCTAACCATCCAAGCTATGCTTACTTTAAAGACTAGTTTTACCGGCACAAACCGCCCGAATGTAACATTGCCATTGGGAGGTGAAGCACTTAGGACTCATGCGCTCTCATTCATATTAAAGAAACGTTAGCGGCGCATTTGATGGCCACATTCCACTAACTAGAGCTAAACTAGTTTATGAAAATGTGTACGAATATCTGATGCACATGATGATAGATATAATTAAGAAGTGAGTTCGGCTATCTAACTGGAGTATCACCATCCCAACCCATCGCATCGCATCGCATATGGAGTACGTGTACAATCATCACCATGCATTAGTTTACTTCATCGTGGCTTATAAATCATAAACAACATACAAGCGGCAAAAGCTATGATTCGGCCGGCCGTACGCGCTTTGTGCAACAAAAATTAAATCTACAACCTTTTGGGAAAGTAGCTACATACTGGCTTTGTTTGGCAACATGGATCGATGGAATTAATTTGTTTGTAGCTATAGCTTGCTTAGCTGCTCCATATCATACCTATTTGCAAGTTTGGTATATTGATTGTAGGGTGGATGCCAAAAGCTGCTTTTTGTCCAAGCATCTGATTCGTTTCAGCTCGATCCATCCATCGTGCACTAGTTAATTAGTTAGTGTACGTTGTGATCAGGTATGAAGCAAAGCAAAGCAAAGCAGCAACTTAATTAACCATCGATCGACCTTCATTGGGCGATGAGTGAGTGAGTGCTCCATGAACCCAACTAACTATATAAAGTGCCACCTGCTGCACTTATATTACTCCTACATGCATAAGCTCCAACTCATCGACCATTTTATTTTAATGTTTGTATTGCGTAAGGTCTGTTCGATGCGGCGGCCGGCCAACACTATTCGGCCGGCTTTCAACTTTTTTTCTTCTTTCTTTCTTTCGAGGAACTGGTGGTATAGCACTCTCTCTCTCTCTCTATTAGAAAAAAAGAGTGTGTGAAGAGAGTGTGATTTAAAAGAGGGTTGAAACAAGGGTGGCATGTGAACTACTCTTGAAAGAAAATATTATAAGAAGCCACATACAATTGGTATGTTCTTGATATTAATAAATTTCTCTACCGAAAAATATAAGAGATACGAAGGTGGATTTCCTTCACAGTCAAATTCACTGTCTCGGGATTTTCCTACACGAGGCATGTTGATCTCCCCTTCCATATGTGCCATATGACATAGATTACATGGCCGCTCTATGTTCGAGGTTTAGTGACTAGACATTGTCAAGTTTCCCCCATTATATCAGTTATGCTCTAAGATTATGCTGCCATCTATGCCATCCTTGCCCAACATACCCAAATTTCAAAACCACATGGGAGAATGGCCAATCCTTGGCCATCCCCTAAGCCCTAATTGTCAAATTAAATTCTAGATGCTAGGATCTTCCGATGTAAAACAAAACACACGACGAGCTTGCAATTGGCGGCCACATCTGCTTTTCAGATATTTGTTGCAATGGCCAATGCCACCTGCTGCACTTATATTACACACATACATAAGCTCCAACTCATCGAGCATTTTATTTTAGTATTTATGTTGTGTAAGGTCTGTTCGATGCAGCGGCCGGCCAGCACTATTTGGCCGGCCTTCAGCTTTTTTTTCGAGGAAATGGTAGCATGTGTCTTTCAATGAGAAAAAAAAGTGTGATTTACAAAGAGTGCTTGAACAAGGGTGGCATGTGAACTACTCTTGAAAGAAAATATTATGAGGAGTTGGGTGTGTAAATGTTCTTGATATTAGAAAAAATATTTCCTTTATAAGAAATATATGAGGTACGGAGATGGATGTCCTTCATGGCCACTCATCTCACCTAGCTTTTCCCAAGAAAGGCATGTTGATTCTTTCCTTCGATATGTACCAAATGACATAGATTAGATGACCACTCTATACTTGAGGTTTAGTAACTTGACGTCGTCCAGTTACCTTCATTGTATTGGTTTATGCTCTAAGATTGTGCCGCCGCCAGTGGCACTGTTACCCAACATTCACCAATTCCAAAACCACATGAGAGAATGGACAATCTTTCGACATCCCCTCATTATGAAGTTTCTAGCCGCTAGGGTTTTCATATGTAAAATAAAACACACACAAAGCTAGCAACCGGGACCACATCTGGCCTCGAAATCTTTGGAAGTGTAGCTTCGTTTGTGACCAGTGAATTGCACAGGTTAGTGTAAATTGGCCGAGTATTCTCTTGGGTAGTGATTATTGTCTATTTGTCGATGTATAATTGTACATTATCGAAGGGGGCATACCCTACGGGTCTGGAGTCCACCTATGAGGGAAGTCCTAGAAAATAAGATCCTATTGAACCTAGAAAAAATTAAACCCTTTTGAGAACCTTTTAAAAGTTCTACCCATATGTGTTTATGATCGCAATTCATATTAGATATACTAATTCCAGCCAGACATAGTCAATAAACCTTACTAAACTTGTGAAGGAAACCAGGCTTAAGAGACCCTTGGGATCCGAATCAGTCAAGGTAGAGTAGACACTCGGAAGGGGTAAGGTTGGACACGTCATAACCAGGACTGTAGAGTTACAGATGGATACATTCGTTATAACCACTTGATACGAGATTGTATTGTACTTAGTTACCATCATGTCCCATTGTAACCGGGATTGTAGTGTTACAAATGGATCACAGTTTATAAAGACTTTCTGCCAAAATGATCATATCGTCCCGTGAGACTACACTTATGTTCTAGATCAAGTCTACACATAGGTATCTATTCACTGATCAATACAGACCTATAAGCAGGACACATGACTATTACCCATATGGGGACTGAATCTTGGTAAAACCATAATATCTGCATTACCACAGACGAGATCCCTTCCGACACAACCACTCTCTATTATTTCTCCATCGCATCCCATTAGACCGTAAGATTGACGGTGAATCATTCCTCCACATTAGTGGATTAGAAATAGGTAATTATCAGTTATTCATTGGTAGCTATCCGACTGTGGGCTTCAAATCCATTTATTTTCTAGTTTTTCAGGGCTGCCACTTTTAATAACTCATAATGTCGCATCAAGCAGATATGAGTATATAGGTGGATCTTAATTCTAAATCGCTTTTACTTTTTTTCAATCATATATACTCATTTGTAGCAGTTTTGCATGTGAATTGATTTTGTTGTTGTATCAAAGTTTTCTTTGTAGATAAGGGGGTTGGAACCCCAGCCAAAGTGGCCGGGGGTATGCCTCCATTTCCAAAAAAAAGGTGTCTATGAGATATGCAATTAGGCCTGGCCTCGAGTATTGGCTGAGTGACTATCATAAAATCCGCTGTCGAGATGGTGATTGGAGGACAGCTTCATGTCCAAGGTGAAAACTCTTATTTAACCTTCATTGGTCGGGCTCAGCAGCGATAAACTTGTGCCGTTACCATATTGAAGGCATTGTCTTCTTGCTGACGTGTTGGCCTTCATTGCTTAATCTCGGCAACCA